CGCTGGCAACATGGACTGACGTCCTCCTCCCCACCCCACACCCCCCAGTGTACACAGAGAGAGAGAGAGTCTGGTCTCTTGTTGTACACACATTTTCTGTAAATACACATTTGCTACAAATTTCCAGCAAAGAGAATGTGGTACAAAACAGTAAGTGATGACAGCAGTAGATGCTTGGGAAAGATTTATCAGGAAGGTTATGCCTTTCTCTAGCAAGCATTTGAAATCGATCTAGTTAACATTCTCCTCAGTTCATAACTCTCCTCCACAGCAGCCTTGGTGTCGGCAGCAGGGCCTGAACTACTGTCAGTTCTTATCGGGTGGAAAACAAATCCGTATTTTGGTCAGCAAGACAGAGCACACGTAAGTGAATGATTTGCTCAGCAAGAGCTTGAGAACAATTTAGATGTCTGTAACAATCTCAAACCACTTTTCTTTCTTTCTTTCTTGGTATAAGAGTAAGATGCTGGTGTTGACGGGGAGACATGAAGGATGGATGGAAGAGGGGGGAGAAGAGAGAGCAGGCTGAGTGGAAGCTGGCGGCAGAGAAGAAAAGCGCTCTGTGCCAGGTGCCAATGAAAGTGCTCAAATAGTACCTGCTGGACATGAAGAACTAGGAGTCTGTAGGGATTAGTGGTCGGCCTGCTGGGCTAGACCTCTGTTCTGCCACTAGTCTCGTCTTTGACTTCAGGCAAGTCCCACAACCTTTCTAACCCTTCATTCCTTCACCTGGAAGAAGGGGTTGCCTCACAGTGTTGCTTTGGGGTTCAGTGATCCAGACTGGCTTCCACAGGGGCCACAAATTTCCATGAATTCTTCAGGCAAAAAATGCCCTACAGGGTTTCTTGATGGTCCTGTGTGCACGTCAGTTTGCCACACGTACACTTGTTTTTCCTCTCAACAATCCTATAAAGCAGGTGGGGGAGATATTATCACTCCCATATTTACAGGAGAAATGGATCCCCACATGACTTGGCAAAAATGAGAAGGGCTTTCCAGCCAGAGCCTGCCCTTAGGTCCACCCCGGCGAGGAACCACCAAGAAAAGTAGCCTATGGAGCTGACTATTCGTATCAAACTCCTATGCAGAGTGGAATTTAAATTGTTTTCTTGGAAGTGACTGAAACCAAATTTCTTGGAAGGCGCTCCAACCTGGAATTTCCTGGAAGGAGAGCAAGGAGCCAAGGGGGAAGTTGTAAAACATTCACGGCAGATGTCTTCCACTTCCTGAGAACTTTGGATGCGGAGAGAGAGAGACTTAATGCCTAATTTTAGGTTGTTTGAAAATTAACAGTCCATTAGCCAATGTTATTTGGGGGAAGAATAACACATTTATTGGGCAAAACACGTTTGGGAAGTCAGAGATGAGGGAATGGGCTTTGGAGAAATGACAGCAAATGGAGTTAGACAAGGTATTGAAACACCAAAACCAATGTCCACCTAAGAAACGTATGAAAATGTTGCACTGAGACCACACCTTCCAAGGATCGGTACAAAAAGTTAGACACACATGAGGGACAAATCCCAGCAGCGAGATCTGACTGGGAGGAAGCAGAGCTGAGTCAACTCAAATCAGACCAAACAAACCTGACCACGCTCAGGTCCTTAAAAGTTTTTCAGAGTGATTTGCAATAATTGTGCCAGTGATTTGTATGTGAATGGCCTTTTAAAAAAGCATGGCCGAACAGTTAATTTTCATGGTTTTTGAATGCATGTTATAATATTTTTAAGCACAATTAATTTGCACTATAAGGCACAGACTTGATTTTGTTTCAGAAGTTTAGACATAGGCCTATTCAAATGATGAATTCCAACGTAGCTGGAGCTGGGTTAAGTGAAATGTCACGGTGCAGTTCATAAAGGAGCAGGCATCGTGTCTGACACTCCACAGGTGCGCCATCCACGCCTGGGCAGCGTGGGAGGGACAAAAGAAGGACCTTGGTTTCCCTGGTGAATTTCGTTTCACAGGATTGAATCAGGCTTATCACTGGCACCCATTCTGGCTACAAACAATGAACTGAAAGGTACAACATCTCCCCAGTCTTCAGAATCCTCGTGTCCGTTTTGTTAATGTGTCAGAGACCTGAGTAGGCTTCCACTTCCTGTCTCCTTCTCCTTGTTTGCCCATAACCAACCCTTCACTATGTCTGTCCACTCACCTTCTAAAGAGATCGAGAATTCTTTCATTGTTCTGTTTCCTTCTCCCCTCCCCTAAGCCCAAATATACCTTCTCTCGCCTGGAGAACTATAATAGCCTTCCAAGGGCTATGCTTCTGTTCACTCTGGGTCCCTCCATTCACTGCCCATAGTGACACCATAATTATCTTTTCAAAACACAAATCTGATTATGTCACTGCTGCTGCCCCCATCTCAATCCTCCTGGCCACCCCTCTGCACTGCTCTCAGGGTTAAGACCAAGGGCCAGTCCCTGGAGGCTGTTCTCTCATCCCAGGCTCCTCCCTCCCTCAACCCCAGCTAGTTAACCCTTGAGTTTCTCTCCTTTTGCCATGCCTTTCCTGGCTTGGCAAATGCTGTTTCCTCTTCCCTTTGCCTGGAACTTACTCCGTTTTCTCTTTTCTTCTCCTGCCGCTCACTTTAAATCTCAATTTGCAACGCTTTCTCTGGAACCCTGACCCCAGTCTTGACCATTTTGCCCCTCTCTGCTTAATGTTAACAGAGTTCCCTGTTCCTTTTCCTTCAAAGCACTAATCTGAGTCTGTGTATTGTTCAACTGGCTTTGTTAATTTCTGTCTCTGGAGTTTATGGGTTTAAATCATAAACTCTGACAGACTGGGGACCCTGAATGCTTTTTCTCATCATTGTGTTTCTGGCATCTAGTACAGTGTCTCGCGTACAGCAGACACAAGTAAGTATTTGCTGACTGACTGAATGAACTTAATAAATACTGGTTTGTTTTTCTTAAAGGATAATCTGCTTTGTTTTCTGCACGATTTTCTCAAACCAAACTCACCAACAAGCACAATGTGATTTACATCAAGCACATTTTTATGAATGAAAAGCCAGGCACTGCATCATTCCAGTGCCTAGGAAAAGTGAAGTGTTTCTCACTTCTGCATGAGTAAGCTATTAAAATAAGCATTCATGCTTTATCTGAAATCTCATTTTTATTCCCAAGAAGGTTCATTCTAAAGACAGAGAAAATAAAAGCTCCATTTGTCTGGGAAATTATAAATGTTAGTCCCCCTCCACCCCCTGCAAAGTTTCAGAAATGCAGTGGAGGACTCATCTAAATAAAAGCCTTGATGAATGATGGTTTGCAAACAAACATCCTTTAAATAACTCAAAAGCAATGTCAATTTTTAAAAAGACCTTAGCAGAAAACACCACATTCCAAAACTAGAAAACAACTATTTTGATTTTAGAAACATCAAGCATTTGTGCAAGCAACTGACCGCAAAATCTAGAGCTAAGTTTGATTTTCAGAAAGTTTTCTGATATCTTTCAGCAGTTACTTCCACATTTAGAAACAGATTGCTTTGGATAAAGAACTGTATGCCAAAAGGTCCATACTACTACTTAACAAGCTGAGTAATATATTTGCATCATAATTTAGTAGAAGTCTTATTGCAGTTACTTTACTAGTAGTTAGTACAATCTGCACTGTAATTACTGCATATTCTCCAAAATAAGTACCTCACATCAGAGTAATCTGGACGGTCAGTAAATCACTATTACTTCAATAATTATGAACCAAGTTATCCTTGTGCATTCCTAGTAGGTAAGCCCTGGTGAAGAATTTACAGACTCGAAAATCTTACAGCTGGAAGAGAGACCTCTAGTGTGCGTGAGAGAACTTCATATTGTGCTTCGGGCATCATTAATACAGCAAAATCACTGTAGTCATTTTGTATACTGTGGTGGGAGACTTTTTTTTTTTGCCAATTATCATTCACGCTCAATTCACTTCAAATGTCTTCTCAGCAAATGTCTAATATTTTTGCTTCACCAGTTACCTTTTAAAATAAACACGTGGCCTAAACCAATAAAGTTTTTCCTAGGATGCAAAGTTTTAAAACGCAGCAGTCCCCTTTGCACCCTAATTGGTAAACAGGAAACCTACGGCCATCCCAACAATCGCTAACACTTCCTCCCATTCCAGCAGCAGCCAGGCTCCAGAGCCAGGCAGGCTGGTGCAGTCCGTCCCCGGTCCCCTGAACACCAGCTCCTTCCTCATGGTAAGCCAAATGTCACACAAGTAGAAACCCGACGACTTGACTGGCACATTGCCCATTATCCAGGAGACAAATGGACCCACTACTATTTCAAATTCACCACGAAAGTTAGCTCTTCGTTTCCACAGATTCCCATCTATGCAGGCAAATTCCTTGATGTAAAATCAGACTGAACAAATCATTCTATGGCATCAGACTCAGTCTTTAAAAATTCTTTATTTTCTCCTTTCCCACATGAAAAGCACATTTGAGATACGCACAGAAAATGCTTCTCTAAAAAACACACACATGCCCACAAAACAGGAGGTCTCTTAAGGAGTCTACTGCTGAGAAGGTAAAAGCATTTTGCTCATTTTTAATTTGCTAAAACAATCCAAGCATGCTTGGTACCCAGAGGGTATTCTCAAATAAACTTGTATCTCTAGCTGCCAGCTTAGTTGATTGAAAACAGAAGGCAAACGTTCCTTAAAGAATGAGTATGTTAAACTGTTATGTCTCTCCCAGTTCCACCAAGGGTTCGCACACACAGACACACACAGACCCACACGAGTTGAGGATCTGCTCTGAAGGCAGCCAGTTCTATGATCTAAAAGATAATGTAGCATTTGTACCAAATTACTTCTGCCCACTGCGGTGCGCCTCTCAGCCAGGGCCACGGGCGTACTGGCCAGTCCCTGCGTGCCGTCCTCCACGCACAAAGCCGACAGCCCTACTTCCAACTTCACTAACTTAGTTGGCTCCCGCCCAGCCGGCCGCCGAGGCACAGTCAACAGTGAAAACGTTTTGATACCAGAAAACCATTTCCACGACAGTGCAAGTGTTCGAAAGCACAAAGGCAGACAATGCCGACCCACGCCAGCTGGGAAGTTGCGGTGCCCGGGCGGCGGCGGGGAGCTCGCGTCCAGGTAAGGGAGTCCTGCACCGCAGGTCTGCTTTCATCTTCCTGGATGGACGTTTTGGGGGATCGGCCGCACTTTTAAAGCGAATACACCAGAACGCGCCCCCCACCCCGTTCCGTTTCCAGGAGGCGCGGACTCTTTATTTTCCAGCCAGGTCCCTCTTGGGGACGGGAGAGGAAGCACACTTCACATTTCAATAAAAGGGGACGGCGCGGGTGGAGGTGGGGGTAGGAAAGAGGTCAGCGAGAAGCCAAACGGCATCCCTCCCGCCCACCTTAGTGCCCCCAGCGCCGGTTCAGACGGCGGAGACGGGTGGCGGCCAGGAAACTGTCCCTTTAAGGAAACCTTGGCCTCCAGAAGAGGGGGAGGCAGGCGGGCTCCGGACTTGGCGCTGCAGGCACCGCGGAGTGGAGACGAGCGCGGCAAAGCCACAGCCATTACCTGCAGCGCTCGCGTCCTTCCCCCACCTCGGGGCCCCCTCCCCCGTCCCCGCCTCCCAAGGAGACTTCTAATTCGGAGCATGTGCCAAGCCCTTTATCTGGGGAGGAAGAGGAATGAGAGCTTCTTAAAAATAAATGAAACGTTTGCATCTAAAGCCTGTGTATGGGGGGGGGGGCTAGGAAAGGGAGGGGTGGTGGGTGGGGGCTTTAAAGGCGCCCTGGTGGGCGGAGGCGGTGAATCCGGATCAGCCCGGCCGGAGACTGACGGCGGACGGCACCGGGCACTGCCGCCGCTCACAAAGGGGAGCGGCGCGGTCCGGCCCCAGCAAAAGGGGAAGAGAAAACCGCCTCGGGGCCCGATCCGCTCGGCAGCCACAATGGCGTCTTTCACGGGGCGTCCCGGGGCGCCGCCGAGGCTGCCTGCGAGCGCGGGGCGGCGGTCCCCTCCCGACCGCCGAGCGAGCGGAGCCCCGGGGGCCGCCGCCCCTGCGCGCCCCGCAGGGTGGTGTGCTCGGCGGGGGCGCTCCGGCCGCCGGCGGCGCTGGGAGGCTCCCGGCGGGGCCGCTTTTCAGACACGGAGCTCCGCGCCGGGGAAGAAAGGGACGCGCGCGGTTCGGGCGCGGGGGGAGGAGGCAGGGGCGGGAGGGGGACGAGCCGCTGCACGGCGGCCGCCGGGGAGGCTGGCGCGCTGGCGGCGGGCGGGCGGCGCGGGCACTGGCTCCGAGAGCCGCGGCGGCTCCGCTTCGAGTTCCCGAACCGGGCCCGGGGATCCGGAAGCCGGGCCCCGACGCGTCGGCTCCCGGCCCCGGGCTCAGGCCCCTTCGGCCGCGCCCGCTCCTTCTGCCCATTCCGCCTCGCTCGCTCCCGCTCCCACTCGAGGAAGAAAGCCGAAAACCGGCAGGAGCTGCCCCGGAGGAGCCGGCCGCGGGTCCGAGCGGATACCCAGCCGCCGCGGCGGGCTGTGTGTGCGCGAGTGTGCCGCGCTCTCGCCCCATGCCTGGCACATGCGTAAAAGCGAGTTGCGCCCAAAGTCCCAGCCATACCCTCCTTAGCAAATAATAACAAACCCAAACCGTCAGATCTTACCTGAAACATTGAAGCACAAAGTCTCTCTCCAAGTCCCCTTTTCCTTTTCCTCTCCCCCCTTTTCCGATTTCTCTCCCAGCGATCTGCTCGGCTCGCCACACCAGAGAGAAATGCAATAGCTTGGCTAAGGTAGACAGAACAAAATACAGAGAAGAGTTGCTCCAGGGCTTTGAAACCCCTCAAGGCAAGGATCAGGATACAATTAGCTCATGCCTCTACCTCCAGTCTAAATCAATCTCCAAAATAAAACTTAAATCAAATTAACTGATCACAGGGCAGACAATTGATCTCCTTCAAAAATAAAGGTCTACACATACGTATAGATAAATATATACATAGGAAATTTTTTTCCAGATTTTTTTTTGGTGGAAAAACAGTCTTATTCCAGCCTCCAACTTGCTTTTTACCCTCCTCTTGCACAGAAAAGCTGATTTTAATCGTTGTGATTAGTTTTGATGTAACGTTTCCGCGGGCGATTTCTGCAAATGGATGGAGTGTTTCTTTGCCAAAAGAGGGAAAAGCAGCAGATGATGATAATTATAAGGATTGTTGGTTGTTTCTTTTTATTTGTGTTTAGGGCTCTCTCTTCACTTTCTCAAGTTGACCTGACACTGCTGTTACACTAAGGTCGCGCAACTTGTTGAGGAGGATCGCCGCCCTGTCTGATCAAAGGATAGGTGATAATTTGGCAAGAGAGCCGCACATTTTTGGTTCCTTTGGCGACATAACGTCCCACATGACGTGGATAAAAATAAGCACATGCAATCTGCTTTGCCCCAATCAAGTCTGAATCAGCGCCTGGGGGTGATACACAAACTCATTTCAAATGTTCAACCATGCAGAATTGCAAAAAGATTGAAGGACTTACACTGCCTTTTTTTTTTAAATAGCTAAATTAAAGACAACAAAACCTACATTAGGTGTAGCCAGGGACCTACAATTTAGGTTTGTTTAATCAACCCTCTGAACATACCTCCCCAGCTCCCTTCTCTTTGCTTCTCTCCACCTGGTATCTTTTATGGGAGGGTGGGTTGTATAATTCCATTATTTAACGGAAGTGCTCTGCGGGGCTGAAGAGACTCTAACATAAACACATTTCCCCAGATGCTACTCCAGTTCTGACCTCCCCCACTCCTCATCACTTCTTTCTGTCTAGGTCTTTGTTCAAAGAGACTGTGCCGGAGCCAGTTGGTAATTCTTTTTAGTTAGAGTGGGACGTTTGGTTGTAACTCAAAGGTCACCTCCCATTAGTGTTATATCCTTGCAGGATACTTTTCGAAATGCTATGTGTTTTGAGCACTTCACAGTTCATTAATTCAAAGACTTTGCTGACATTTCTTATGAAAAAGACCAGCCTGTAAGGCCAAAATACTAAAAAAAAAAAAAAAAAGGGTGGGGGGGGAACACCCTTAATAGAACCAGACATGTCTTGTGACTATCTGCAATAGGCAGCATTTCACAGGAAGTGTTTTTTAGTCATCATTTTACCTTTAAAGTAAGCAACTTCTGCAATACCAGCAGAACGGGGAAGGCCAAGCCTTGAAGAATATTATCATCAGATCTGTGCCGTAATGACACGAGAGACTTATGTCAGAATAAGAATCAGGCGATGGTAGATTTTTTATCATAGCAAGTTCATATGACGACGGTATCTGATTTGAAAATATCAGTCTTCTGTAGGAATAAAAAAAGAATGGCTTACAAAATAACAGAACAAAGTTGTGTTATCCTTTGTACATTCTGCCTCCCCACACACATACAAGGTAGTTACATCCTCATATGTAATAAATTTAAATGTCCATAATACCCCAAATTCAAATGAATTTAAACTTCGTTTTTGCCCCCAAATAGCACTAAATGTTAATATATTAGTGTGAGAAGAAAAAAGACGGTGGAAGAGATAGCCTCAGTTACTGATATGACTTCATACATTGAAGGTATGGTGGCCTAAAGTGACTTTTAATTAAAGTCTGTGGAATATTGTATCATTGTCCTGGCATGATAGAGCTGGAAAGATTCTTTGTGGGCATCTAGTCTTTCCTATCACTCTTCAGATGAGGAAACTAAAGCAGCTTAACGGTGGTCACAAGCCAGGCACGCCTTGACAGGGCCAAGCCACAAACAGGCAGGACTAGGAGAAAGGAGGGAGGTGTGCCCTGAAGTCATTCACCTTGAGGAACTACACACAGTTCTAAATTGTGCTACAATGGCTTAAAAACCGCACTTTCCAAAATCCCTTTCTGGAATTGTACTAAAAACCTGTTAGCTCATTCTTTTAAATATCTCAGAGGGCAACACACCTTTGTCCTTTGATGTTTAACTTTTGGAACACCCCCTCTCTCCACCCCAAATTAATACCAGGTCTGGATATAGGTGAATGATGAAAATGGTCTAGCTTATTGAGAGTCAAAAAAGAAAATACGACTTGAAGCATTGAGTCCAGTTTTCTCATTATTTCCCAAATGGACTAAAGACAATTCTCAAAGTATCAGCAATGGGAACTTCGCTTTCCAAGACAACCGCTCTGAAGGGAATAACGTTCATTTGAACAAATTGAGTTTTGAAATGTTTATTTGTTAGGTGTTTTTAGTACTTCAGAATGATAACACTTACAAAATGATGCTCTTTTAAAGATTTATGTCATTGACAGTTTAAAGGGACCCAACCTACTGACTTGATCAAGGAATCTGTGGTGATCCCATTGGCAAATAGACTGCAGAGTGAGGTCTCATTGTGGTGAGGATCTCAATTTTCTCAGTTTGAAGGGGACTGAAAGTTGAGACTGTGGGGTTTCAGAGTGAATCTTATTTTGTATCGTGCAATATGAAGAAATGACAAAACTTCCCAACCTTCCAATCAAAGGTGATGACAACATGTTTTAAAATTTAGAGTAGGTTTTTGATGAAATGGCACGTGAAAAGCAGGGTCCGCATCTTGCCAAGTAGAAGATCCCTCACTTACCAACTTGACTTCAATCAACCCCTGCAATTGTAAAATTCCCCCCAGGGACTTTTTCTCTAATTAATACCCGTGCAACAAAACTTCTGCATTGTGTGATTTCTACAGTGCTTTTTTTTCTCCAATCGTGAAGAAGTTGGGGGGGACAGAGTATATTAAAAATCTTTCTAACCTTCTCTTTCATTAAATAGTTGAAGTGAGATCAGCAGCCTAAATACCATTAGCCACGTGGAGATTGTCAGCAAGAAAACAATCAGAAAGAAAACACAGACCTCTGTTGCTCTTCTAGGGTCTCACTACCAAAATAAGCTCTACCGATTTTTAAAAGTATGAAAACAATGAGAGGATATTTTGAATTGAAAGGAGGAGCTTGTGGAAAAAAGGTTAGCACTATGACTATCGAAGAAGAGAAAATGGGGTGTGCTTTAAGGGGAGCAGCAGCCCCTTCTAATTTTAACGGGGGGACAGCTGGTTTGGTACCATTTTAGTCACTAAACCCTCGAATCACAAGTTCTCATGGAACACCGCAGCTTTGTTCAGGGGCAGCCCGGTGGCCCATTCTTGGTGGCGATTTGGCAAGATGTGGATGATAGTTGCTGAGGTGAAATGTGGAATTGAAGAGCTCTTCCCCGAGGAAGCCAGACACCCAGATCGAAGTTGACTATTCCACTGCACTTCTCATCGGACAAAGTGAGAAGCCTCAGTGCTTGGGTTCAACCTGGGTGTGCAAGGATGTCACCAGCCACGGCAAGGCTGCCATGCTTTCCTCCCTGCATGTCACCAAATGACAGTACGGAAGTTCCCTCACTGTTCCAGGAGGACCCACTAGTATTACCGGGAGAGGCCCTGCAACACAGGGAGGCAAATCCTGTTGTTTCATTTTATTTTTGAGTCATTTTTTTTTGGAGACAATCACTTGTTTTGTATCAGCCAACCTGAGACTCCTGTGATACTGTGGAACATGCACATTTCTCTGGCGTCATTAACGAGCTCAATCAGAATGGGTTTGTGATTTCTGGTGGTTTGGCTCCGACCACCCCTGTTTATAATTAGCCTCTGGAAAACATATTAGGTTTGTACATCACGGTCAATGTTGGGTCTGTAATATATCCCATTCGGAAAAGGTAGGTCCTCCAAAGGTGGCGGTTCTGCTGACGGGGATCCATTTCAGCTCACCCATCATCTGAATAAAAATAGATACCCCGTCCTTACTCTGAGGCCCTTAAATCAGTTGGGTCTTTTATCAAAGTTTCTCCTCTATTTGTACAATGTGAGTACTAGTTATAATTGCACATTATAAAGCAGCATAGAAGGCAAACCCAGCAATAAAGCTTAATTGTGGTTAGATACCCTGCCCCCCATTTTAGGTGGTCTCCTTTAATAGAGAAATACCTTCGCTGACAACGATACAGTTGTGTGAAGAAAGAGTTGTGAATCTCGTATATTCCTCACTGGCACTTAATATTCTCTGGTGGACATTCACATTCTACATTTAGTGTAAGTAATTATATCTTCAGTTGCAGTGTGATCTGATCCTTTGTTTCTTTAGGCGTATAACAGGAATAAAAATTCTTCAAAATTTTTTTCACCTGAGAACATGCTTCCTGATTTTTAGATAGAAGAGGAGGGAGGGAGAGACAGAAACATTGGTATGAAAGAGAAATATCGATTGGTTGCCTCTCCTACGTGCCCTCAGACCAGGGACCAAATCTGCAACCTAGGTGTGTGCCCTGACCGGGAGTCAAATGCATGGGCCTTTCGGGTTAGGGCACGACACTCCAACCAACTCAGCCACATCAGCCAGGCCTGAATGAAAATTCTTATGAAGCCTTATTTTGAGGTTAAATGTGAAAACATGTAGAAAATATTTAGAATTGTGCCTAGCATACAGTGAGTTCTCAACAAACAGTAGCAATTATTGTCATTATGGTTTATAGAAGTTGTTGAATGAGTAACATGATCCCTAGCAAACTGTTACTATTTAAGTGAACAGCACAGAAGAAAAATATTTATGCAATGAGATACCTAATTTATTGAAATTTTTGTGCCTGATCAGTTTTAAGAATAATAACTAAATCTCATTTTATTCTTTTATCTAGAAATCATATGGACATCTCACATTTTCCTGTAAAATAATGAGGGAAAATGAGATTTACTCCAAGGTAAATTTTAGCTATGACAAATTATATGTCTGTGGTGTTGCATACTAGGGAATACTCTTTTTGTTCTTTTGAGGATCCTTGGCTTTGACAAGGCTGCCTCACACATATAAAATAATGAGTTAAACATTTTACATAAATTGCTGGTACAAGAAATGGGACTCAAGTAGAATTCTGCCCTGAACTTCTTTCATCATAATTATTTGCTTTTTGCCTTTCAAGAATTATAGAATCGGTACAAACAAGTGTATCTGAAAATCGAAAGAAATGAAGTTCAAGGCAGATTCAGATTTCAAAGGAATAATTCAGTTAATCAATCGATCGATCATTATATTCCCCAATTTTCTACCTTCTCCAGTTATGCAACTTCTTCTTTCCCAAACTTTAGATCTTATTATTTTCAAGATTGTTTCCTGTTATCTGGTAGGCCATCCATTTTAAAGTTATGCAATAGTTAATGTAAGGAAATATTTTTAATAAGACATGCATTTCATTAGCCATTTTGTTCTATTTCATATTTTAGTGCCTCATAGTAACCAGCTGGCGTGGAAAGATACTTCAGTCTGCAGTGTAATGCATCCCAGGCACGGCCCATTGGTAGAGAACCACTTAGCTGCACTTCACTGTTCTTCTGTCCGAACCAAGGCTGTTCACGAGAATCCCCGTAATACAATTGAGGTCCCTCAGGGGCACCATATACATTTATGTAAGTTATCTCCTCGTGCATCCTTTGGGTGTCAGAACCTCTCAGCTTTGCTAACCATAAAATATCTGCCTTGAGCATATTACTAACTTTAAGACTCTAATGATATGGATGTCATATTTCAATTTTTAAAAAACCTTTCCCTCCTCCACTCCTGAAAAAAAAACAACCCTGTAAAACGTATCCAGTGGAATCATCCTGCGGTTAAAAACATAAGGTTTGCTTAAAAGGAAAAGAATCATGAAATGCTCTAATTAAAAACAAACAAAGCCAAGAAGAAAAAATATCTGGTCAAAAAAATAATAATTAAACAAGAAACAAATGTATTACTCTTCAAATTGTATTAAGAGCCACTATCAACAAACTGCTGCAGGAAGCAAGACTCTGTGTGTTTTCTTTAAAGTTGTTGAGAGAGAGAGCAGTTTCTAGGGTCTTAATGAGCATAAGCCTGATCAGTTAAAATGGGCACTGGGAGGAGGGGAACAAATCATCAAGACTATTAAACATGGGCGTTTAAATGGTTTTGAGATTGTTCTTAATAATAACATTAATGATAGCAGTGATAAGAAACAGTTATGAAGGATGGTGGGGAGTTTCCATTGTGTAAAGACCATCTGGCAGTGAGAATCAGACATAAAACTCTGAAATGAAATCCTCAATCTGTCCCTGTAAGGTTGCTTTGTAGATAATGGATATCTTAATTTTTTAAAAGACTGAAAAGCATGTCCATTGTGCCGAACGTATAGCAGCTCCCGCTGAGAAAACAAAGCTTGTGTGTCTGTTTCCTTCCTAATTGTTGTTACTCCTAAACCAAACAAAAGCTCTGTGGAAGAGCTTGTAAGTTAATGATCGTAGCTTATCTGCCTTTTACTTTATTTTATTTTTATTGCTTCAGGAGATTTTTGATAGGTAAGACATTATCGTAATACTCTTAATCCTCATTTACCCAAGTCGGGGGCAAGAATTTCCCCAGGGTTTCTCCTTATAATAAAGCCTACTGAAATAAAATTTGAGGGGTCGGGAGGGCCTAGATTTTTGGTCTACAGCAAATATATCACTTAAAATTTACCTTTATGTAGTAATGAGAAATATCAAAAAGCAAACATCTCACTCAGAACCTGGAAAATGGACAGTAGTAGATAGGTCATTTTAGTTTTATTTATTATTTCTGGGGATTAGCTATTTCTACTTTTTAGATTCTCTGGCCATGTCAAAGTATAATGGGGACAAGATCACAAAAATTGTCTGATTCCATTTATATAAGATACCTAGAGTAGTCAGATTTATACAGACAGAAAGTAGATCCGTAGTTACTGGGGCTGTGGGAGAGAAAGGAATGGGCGGTATTGTTTAATTGGTGCATATCTTCGATCTGAGAAGTTACACACAGCTTGAATGTGCTGAATACCACTGAACTATATAATTAAAATGATTAAAATGGTAGTTTTTTCTTTTTTAAAGAATTTATTTATTTTTAGACAGGGGGGATAGGAGGGAGAAAGAGACAGAAGCATCAATTTGTGGTTGCTTCTTGTGCGCCCCCTACTGGGGACTTTGGCCAGCAACCCAGGCATGTGCCTTAAACTAGGAGTCAAATTGGTCCACAGGCCGGTGCTCAATCCACTGAGCCACACCAGCAAAGGCTAGTTTCTTTTCATATCTATATTTTACTACCGCCACCACAACAAAAAAGATAATAAAACTATACGAATATCTCTAAAAAATATAATGGGTGGATACAATGGGGTAAAAACCGAACCAAAACAAGGTATTCAGTTCTCCAATCTTCTTAACTTGTGTTCCATCCATAACACTTGGCAAACAAGTTGCAACTGATTGTGGCTGCTTATCAAGAAGCAGGCAGAAAACCCAGCTCTCTCTTTGGGCCATGCACTGCAATGAAGACCCAACTTGAGTAGTGAGCTCAGACAGGCCATTTCACCATTCTGTATCCAGATCAGCTAAATGCCCCATTCATTGACGATTCCTTCAGTGGGTTATAAGAACTTGAATATTCTGAGTCAGGTCAAATCCCTGGAAATTAGTGAAATTTCCCAGTTTTTCCTCCTATGGTAAAGTCTGTAAAAAGAAATTTTTCTGGGGGGTGGAAAAGGTTAAATCTTCAGTTTGCAATGAATATATCATTTAAAACATCGTTATGTAGTAAAGAGATATCAGAAAGAAAGCATCTTTCCAATTGTCTGGATACTTGGAATTATGTGTGCCAATAGCTAGTTGTTTCACGATATGTTATTTTATATTATTTTGAAATATTTTATTTTATTTTAGATTTTAGAGAGAAGGGACGTGAGGGTGAAAGAGAAGGCAAGAAACATCAATGTGAGAGAAAAACATCGATTGGTTGCCTTTGTAGACACTACAGGGGACCGAACCTGCAACCCAAGCATGTGCCCTGACTGGGAACCAAACTGGGGACCTTCTGGTGTGCAGGATGGTGTCCAGCTAACTGAGCCACACTGGCCAGAGCTCACGATATTTTTGATGTGCCCTCTGTGCTTGTCATTGTGTAGACAGGGACTTGTACCTAAAAATGCAACAGCTAAAGCAGCTTGTAGATTAGTAAAATAATTAAACTGAATCATTTGCCACATTAAGAAGGGAATCAGAGAACTGGATGCCTTTTAGAATTCATGAAACTGGATATCTGTTTTTAGTTTTTAATTCTTCCCGGGGTTTGGGTTGAATTGGATCAACCGCCTATAACCACAGCTTTAGTTTTCCTGCATAACTTCTCATGTCACTCAAGGTGCTTAGATCCATTCATTCAGCCTAAATACCCAGTTTCTTTGGCTTCATAGCAACAACTTGTCATAGATTTTTTGGTATCCTTTTATTTCACAGAAATTGATTATTTTTAATTCTCATACAATAGAAAGAGAAATCTTTAGATTTTAAAGAGTAAGAACACATTTCACCCCCCATTTCCTCTCTTGTTTTTAAACCTATTTAACCTAAAAACTGGCCTTTATTATGGTTTGTTACTTTTAAAAATTTTTAAATATTTTTTTATTTATTGTGCTATTACAGTTTTCCCAATTTCCCCCCTTTACCCCCTTCTGCCCTGCCCCCTCAACCCTCTAGCACCTCTGTAGTTCATGTCCATGGGTTGTACACATAAGTTCTTTGAGTCCTGTTTTTCCTATACCATTTTTATCTCTCCCTGTCTATTTTATGCCTACTAACCATGCTTCTTCTCCCCTATACATTTTCCCCGCTATTTCTTCCTTCCCTCTCCCCACTGAAATCCCTCCATGTGATGTCCATTTCTCTGATTCTGTTCCTGTTCTGTTTTTTTGCTTAGTTTTTGTTTCCATTGTTTTTCTTTTCTTTTAGGTTCATTTGTTGATAGTTGTGAGTTTGTTGTCATTTCACTGTTCATATTTTTGTCTTCTCTTTCTCAGATAAGTCCCTTTAACATTTCATATAATAATGGCTTGGTGATGATGAACTCCTTTAACTTGACCTCGTCTGGGAAGCACTTTATCTGCCCTTTAATTCCAAATGAAAGCTTTGCTGAGTAGAGTAATCTTGGATGTAGATCCTTGCCTTTCACCACTTCAAATACTTCTTTCCAGCCCCTTCTTGCCTGCATGGTTTCTTTTGAGAACTCAGCTGATAGTCTAGTGGGAACTCCTCTGTGAGTAACTCTTTCCTTTTTTCATGCAGCTTTTAAGATTCTCCCTTTGTCTTTAATCTTGGGTAACTTAATGATGATGTGCCTTGGTGTGTTCCTCTTTGGGTCCAACTTCTTTGGGACTGTCTGGGCTTCCTGGACTTTCTGGAAGTCTATTTCCTTCACCAGATTGGGGAAGTTTTCCTTCATTATTTGTTCAAATAAGTTTTCAATTTCTTGCCGTTGTTCTTCTCCTTCTGGCACGCCTATGATTCAGATACTGGAACATTTCAGGTTGTCCCAGAGGTTTGTAAAACTCTTTTTTCACTTTTTTGAATTCTTGTTTCTTCATTTTGTTCTGGGTGGATGTTTATATTTTCCTTTTGTTCCAAATTGTTGCTTTAAGTCCTGGTTTCCTTCCTGTCAGCTGTTGGTTCCCTGAACATTCTGCCTTATTTCACTTTGGGTATCCTTCATTCATTTTCTCATTTTACAACTGAGCTCAATCAGTTCTGTGAGCATGTTGATTACCAGGGCTTTAAATCCTCCATCAGATGGGTTGGTGATCTCCTCCTCTCCTAGTTCTCTTTCTGAGGTTTTGCTCTGTTCTTTCATTTGGGCCATGTTTTTTTTTGTCTCAGCATGCCAGTTAAGTTGTAAGGGGGCTGGGCCTTAGGAATTCACCTGGGCAGGGGAGCCCTCCTGGCAGGGCTGCAGGGCTGCCTGTGGAGGAGGGGCCAGAGAGGGAACAATGCAGCTCGCCTGCTCTTCTCTAGAGCACTTTTCAACCAACTTTGCTGTAAGAGTGGTAGAAACTCCCACTGCGGCAACCCCAGCAGAAGCCCACAGTCAGCTCTGAGTCTCCTTAAGTCAGCCCCTCCTGCGAAGCTGCCCCCCAGCTGGGCAGCCAGCTCTGTTCCCAGTGTCCGCAGCCGTTTTTCTTTTCTTTTTTTAAATATATTTTTTAATTTTATTGATTATGCCATTACATTTGTTCTATTTCCCTCCTCCGTTCCCCTCCACCCTGCACACCCCTCCCCCACCATTCCCCTCCTTTAGTTCATGAACACTTGTCTGAAGTTCTTTAGATTCTGTATTTCCTCTACTATTCTTACCCTCCCCCCATCTATTTTCTACCTACCATCTATGCTACTTATTTTCTGTACCTTCTCCCCCCTTCTCCATCTCACACTCCCTTGTTGCTAATCCTCCACGTGATCTTCATTTCTATGGTTCTGCTCCTGATCTAGCTGTCCTGTTAGTTTGCTTTTGTTTTAGGTGTGGTTGTTGATAACTGTGAGTTTGCTGTCCTTTCACTGTTCATCTTTTTTATCTTCTTTTTCTTAGGTAAGTCCCTTTAACTTGAACA